GCCACCATGCAGCCCACAGCACTAAATATAAGATGCATTGTGATCTGATAACTCAGAACCACCTGGTTGGGTGTTCTGGGACGTCACAGGAAAACACCACGGCAGGAGGTGGTAGTCGTCGTCCTTTCCTGCCTGAGTCAACACTTGGAACAGCCCGTACATGTGTGTTAGGGCTTGAAACTTTTTTGTTTTCTTAGCAGGCGAATGTAAAAACAAATCTGGAGCTTGTTTGCCGAAAGACTGATGTAACAACCGTACACGAGGCCCTTTGACCTTCAAAGTGAAAGTGACACGAGCTGGAACAGAACCAGGACCCGAGCTGGACACCTCAGATGGAAACCAGTGTGAATGCTGACATGTCTCAGGTGTCCGCTTGTTGGAAGCAAGGTTTGGATTGCAAGACTCTGCAAATATAAATATAGAGTTTAATTGATTTTCTTACAAAAAATCTGTTTCATTGGTCTTTGGATGTGCTGTTTTTCTGAAATCATCTCCTCGCAGTGCTTGTAAAACAACAGCGGTTACAATGTGCTTTAATCATACGTAACGCTCCACCATCTCGTGTTTTAAACTTAGCACCAGCGTTGCTACGTTACCTTGACGAACACCCACCAATTACTCACTAAAATCATTTGAACTGTACTTTAATAAATATGCTGTTTGCAATTTTGCCTTTCTTTGAAATCCTTTGTCCTGTTTTGAAAGTGACTGTAACAGAAATTCAAAAGGTCTCTGGCCGTACACAGTCCCCTTGCTTTAACCATCCTTTAAGAGCAGCGGTTCTCAAACTGGGGGTCGGGACCCCCATGGGAGGTCCCAAGATAATTTCAGGGGGTCGCTAGATCATTGTAAAAATAAATAAATAATTAAAACACTAAATTAAGCCTACATTTATCAAATAAATGTGTATCAGGGCTGTCAAAATTAAAAGTGTGTAGCTCTTCCCGCTCCTTTTTTGTTAATATTATGATTTGATTATATGATATTATTATTATTCTTTTTTGCTCTTTTTAAAAATGATTTTCTTCTGTTTTTATATTTTTTTCCCCTTTCATTTGTTCGAAATAAATTCAATTCATTCAAAAGAAAATTAACGTGTTGATGTAAAGAGATTAATCTGTGGAATTAACACATTAATTTTTTTTATTTTTAAAGATATTTTTTTGGATAGGCCAGAGAGAGGGAGAAGAATAGGGGAAGGACCTGCAGCAAAGGGTCATGAGTGGGATTCGAACCCACTGACCGCTGCGTTGGGGACTAGAGCCCCTGTACATGGGACGCCAGCTATAGCGGTGCCCCTTAACACATTAATGCATCAACCACAAAGTTATTATTCATGAGACATTAACAATTCTAATTGGGGGCAACATGAACTTATATTCTTGGGGTCGTGGCTCAAAAAGTTTGAGAACCGCTGATTTAGAGCCGCTCTTAAAATAAAGCGACTCAGTCAAGTGCGTGAACACGAGCAGGACTTCTGGTGTTTACGGGTGGGAAGCCAGACAGGGATCACATCTCTGATCACATCTCAGACTCCAGTGTCTGGGACATGTCGCACTCTCAATATCTGTAAAAAAAAATGTTTGATAGTTTTTTTTTAAATTTTAGGAGCCTCTTCCAACCAAAAAAAAAAACCTGGAATCACCACACAGCTACTCATCAACTTGCTGGAGGCACAACTATTCCTGCAATTATTCCAAATTAAAAGTTACACCCAGTGAAGTGAACGTGTGTTGAAATAACAAAGCGCCTGGTGGCTCGGAACAATCTCCGCCGTCTTGTCGAGTGGTTGGCGCGTGTTTTTTGTTGTTGCGTCACGCTGAAAGAAAAGAGGGTGAAGAAAAGAAAGACAAGCAGACGAACTCGTAGTCTCTCAGCGCTTGGAGAGCCAGCACCAAGAGAAGACCCTGCTTCTGCGAGGAGCTGCCTTAGCGAGTTTATTTACAATTCACAAAATACAGGTGTCGCTTTCAAACAGTGTTCAAGCATTTCACATTAGTGTCGTCGTCGTCTGACAAACCACCAGTTCCTCTCCTGTCTGCTCTCTCTATTGCTCTCAGTCTTTGGTTTCCCAATTTTGAAACTTGGCTCCACACACACGAGGAACACTCCTACAATCCTTTTTAAATAGCCATTTATTCTCCCCTCCCCCCCAACACACACACACACACACACACACACACACGTATGGTCTGTTTGATTTGAAAATAATCCAGGTTCTCCGTTTTGCTACCTTCCACACGAGGAAACTTGTGCGTTACAAAAACTTGCATTTTTACAGCATAGCCTCGATAAAACTTGTACAACTTCATATTTGTGTCACTGAACATACAAGCCTCAAAACTCAGCTGCTTAGAGGTTTTGCCTACATTATATTTGCCCATATTTATTTATTTATATATATATTTAAATATATATAATTATGTACAATGTCTTTATGTTTTATGGCTTCAAAACCCAACGTTACGTCTCACTGAGAACTCTCCGGTGTGCTGGCTGTACGGCGGCTGACTGAAGGCATGTTTAGAAGTAGACGCGTCATTCACTGCGGATGTCGTATTTTCAAAGTTCATTCTTGTCCTAAATGGAATAAAGAAGGAGCTTTCAAGTGCTCAAATGCTGTGCAATTAAAAAAAAAGAAACCAAAGAAATAAATAAAATGTGACTTTCAATATGCAGAACGAGCTCCTCATGAGCATGAAACTTAACTTAAATATAGTTTCCAGTTTGTTGAATTTAGTTAATCAAGGGCTTTTACTTTGTTTGTTTTTTAGGTGTTTCATTGCACTGTGTTTCAGAGAGTAACGTGCAACAACTTCCATTCGATGGATTTGTTTCTGAAAACAGAATTAAATTTAAAATCAAGCTCATCGGTAACGAATCCTTTAACGGCTCCGATCAGAACGTAATCAAACGTGAAAAACGCACGAGGCTTTTATGTGCAACAGAAAACAGTCACTCACTCATATTTATTTTACCCAAATCTGAAGTAATTTATGTTGCTGTGTTTTCCTTTTAAGGTCAATACGAGCAGTGGAAAGCATAGTGAAGCCGTGCTGAGATCAAGTCTGCTCAGAGTCGCTCCACACACACACTCACACACACTCACACACACTCACACACACTCACACACACTCACACACACTCACACTCACACACTTATACCTGTTCCGCTCAAGTGCTGAATACTTGAGTATTTTCAAGCGCCAAACTAAATCTGACTCTAAAACTGAGCAAACACCTTACAGGCTCACCCATGTGACAGAGGGGTCCGAGTGACTTCAGGGGGTTCCTTAATCCATTTAAAATGAAAACTAGTGTTGTTCCTTGCTTTGTAGAGAATTGCTGCACAGTGGCACGACTGATTTGACTTTATAGATTCTGTAAGTCAACGCGGACAAAAGGAGTTTGCTCCCTTTAAAATATATTCTTCTTTATTATTTAAGTATCTGAAAATTAGAGGAATCAAACTTGAATGCATCTGATAAAGAAGAAGTAATACTCTAATACTAAAGAATGATTTTTTTTTAAGGGGAAAAGACTACAAAGCTGCAAGTTTCTGCTTCTGGAGCCTCCAAATGTTTGTCCATGTTTTAGTGGTTGCACAGTGCGCCCCCCTGTGGTCAGAAAGCAGCATGGAAACACTACTTTCCGTCCAACATGGAGTTTCAGGAGCTGTGTTAGTTAACGGTGAAGTATTTGAGGATATATTTTTTGTTTTGGCTCAAACACACTGAACTGAAACTAAACGGTGCCTCTGAGCTTTTTCCTTGTAGGACTTTAAAATAAAAATCATTTTAGGCCGTATGCAGAAAACTGCTACAATAAATTAACTGGAAGTGAATCAAACTGAAGCTGGAGTCAGAAACGTCTGGATTCTTACTAACTGCACTGGGTTGGGAGGAAGTCAACATTTCTCATCCACAGGGACAAATTCAACTTTACTTTTGCTTTGCTCCACAGTTTCTTTTCCCTTCTAGAAAGCCAATGAGGGGAGTTTGTCAAATCGAACACTAGAATAAACAGTTGGAACCAGAACTTCCTGCCACGTCAAGGCCTTCCTCTTATGCATAGGTACTGATGCACATTTTTGTCAACCCCAGATCTAACGAAGGCCTCGACTCAGTTCTGTGTCCTCACCTGCCATGAACTACGTCAGATATCATTATAATTGATATCAGTAAACGAGATATAAGCTTACTTTTTGCTCAGAGGATCTAAGAGCTTTTTAATTCTTCAGATGTTTAGGAATCAATACCGACGCCACTGATCAGTATGGTGCAATAAACCTTTGTTTTGCTGATACCCAATCCTGTCGCCAGGCGTTTATTTGTCTCCATCCCGATCTCCACGCAGCCGCCTCTCGTGCTGGCGCTTGGTGATGATGTATTTGAAGAACTCGTAGACGGACCAGCTGATGGCAGTGGAGGGCATCTGGTAGATGATGCGGGCTTGGACGCCCTTAAAAAAGGCCGGCATGCCTCCCATCCTGTACACCGTCCGAAAAGCCTCACCCAGGCCAGAAATGTGGCGGCTGCCGGCGGCGGCCGAGGCAGTGGCCGCTCCAACCGCTCCGCCTGCTGTCGCCGCCTCCGTCTGGATCACGTGAATGGCCTGAGCCTCCTGCGTGTTGAGGAGGGTCTTGCAGACGTCGAGCGGCGTGGTGGCGGCGGCGGCCACGGCTCCGGCCAGCGCGCCCGACACGACGTGAGAGGAAGGGTTGTACTGTCTGTGAGGGTTGAGCAGCTCCTGGAGGTACTCGTAGGTCATGAAGTGGAGCGCTTGGAAGGGCACGTTCATGGTCAGCTGGGTGGTGTAGCTGCGGTAGAACGCAGCGGGGCCCTCACGCCTCAGCATGGCGCCCACGCAGTCCAACACGCCGCGGTACGGGGAGTTGAACATCTGCATACGCTGTTTGACAACTGAAAGAAACAAAGAACTCAGTTAGTCGCATTTAATAAGATCTGATCAAACTCTTGTGATGATGTTCTGACATTTATATACAGTCTCGTTTTCCATCGATCGCTCCGTCTAGACCTGGGTGATAAAATTCCTGCCACAACAACAACCCGACATGAACAGTGTAGGAGCCTAAATCTATGTCTTTTGTTTTTGGATTTGGTTCTTATTTAGCCATGATGGTTTTGATTTGTTGTTCTACTTCGTTATGTGATTTGTGTTAATTTTTTGGTATCGATTACGGTTAACATTTTTATTTTGCTACAATGTATCTTTTATTTGGTTAAATATTGTTCATCATATTTTTAGGGGATTGCATTCTGTGATGTCATTGGTTTATTGATTTTTATTTATTTATTTATTGGATATTTTGGCTCGCTATATCCGGGTCACTTAAATTCGCGGAGCATCTTGGGAAAAAGCTCACGGCATGGAGCCCAACAGTTTTTTGACCTCCTCGTTTTTCCACTGTGTGTTTCCTTTCGTAAAGCTCGTCTGCGCACTGAAGTTTTTTTAACCACAACCTGGTATCAGTGGATGTTATCGGTGGAGTAGAACCAGCAAGGTTCATACAATGTGGATTTTTGGAAATGCTACGGGGGCAATGAGTCGAGCTGGGCTTCATGAGCTTTAGATCCTACAAACAGCAATTAAAAAAAAAAGAAAAAAAAAGAAAAGCCTGTTAAAATGTTCCAATAGTTTCACTGACTAGACGCAAATTACCATAAAAGCCTCCATGTCTTCTAACAGCCAATCATATCTCCTAAAAACGAAGCCCCTGTCCACACTCCTCCCCCGGTGAAGCCTGCAGCCGGCAGGATCACGAGATGGACCTCAGTCCACCAGGAGCAGAGCAGCAACGTGGAACCTTCACCTCAGCTCTGCCCTCTTGGTTTTACTTGCTTTATTTATTTAACGTGTGTCAAGGTGAGATCATTCTGTCCTAATTTTGATTTTATTTATGTGTGTTTTTCATTGTTGTGTTAAAGTGAACGCCGGTTTCCTTTGTTTTTTTAATAAAGAGATTAAACTGGCTAAGCTTGAATTAAACTCGTCTTTTTAATGAATGGTCTTTATTCAAAATAGGTAATTAGAAACGATCAGTACTGAATGAAACACAACATTTAATGGGGATAAATTGTTCAGTTACATCACTCAGCCCAACACATGAAATCATGACCCACATCGTGTCATTCTTGTTTTTAATTAAAATGAAAATAAAAAAAGAACTTCAGGTTTCAACTGAAGTGTGTCAACAGTCGAGTAATTCAGTCGATGTTGGAGGAACATTTGAGTCTCTCCCCGTAACACACATGAGCCTGTAGCGCCACCAAGTGTCCCGATCACAAAAATGCATCACAAGGATTTTCTGCAGTCGTTGAAGTAGGCTGAGGGCTTCTATAAAAAGACCAGCGCTAAGTCTTTACGGTACATAATGCACATCAGGTCAGCTGACATGGGAGGAAAGAAGGAAGAGGTGGTTTTACCTTCAGCTGGGTTCATGATGGCGTCGTGCAGCACTGTGGCCATGCAGCCCGCCACTCCTGCACAACAGAGGAGACGTTAAAGCCTTTAAACCATGAAGCAGTCAAGCTTCCTCTACCCTTGTGTTATCACTTAACTCGCAAATATTTAAAGTGTGTGCCTTGAGTCAAAAGATTTACATCACTAACCCTGATTTGCTTTAAAAAATAGCTTCATGAAAGTATATATCTAACTTCATTATACTTCCTCTTACCGTTTGCAAAGTGGCTGTTGGTGCCAGGATGAATAGCGTCGCTGAGCGAGAACTTGATCTTCTCGTAGCAAGCGAAGTAGAGAGCGTGTGCAGGTCCTGCCCCCACCGCCAACACGTTCACGCCCCTGATTGGTCGCCACACGCCCTCGGTTCGCACGATCTGCCGCAGGGCGTCCATCACGTTCCTGTAGCGCGCTCCCGGCTCGGGGTGTAGGCTCTGCATGCGAGTCTGGAGCAAGAGAGAAACATAAATTAATCGAATTATACTCACGGACAGCTGGCAGGACTCTCTGCCTTCACTGATTAACTGCACAGAATCTGTGAATTCTTTATAGGTAGGCGTCTCGGTACAATAACAACACAACAACGTGCATGCGTAGTATCACTACAACACGCAGGCAAAACATTAACAATCCTGCTAATACCAACCAAATGACTGATCATGAAACAATGAAAGGCTTTAAAAAAAAGACAGACCAAACTTTAAAAAATTTGAGGTGGGGCACAAGCAGACTTTTTTAACCAACCTTGTGTAAATTAAGTTAAAATACCCATTATTATTATTGAACCTATAATACTGCAATAAATCAAAGTTAAATTTAACAACTGTAATCCTGATCATGTGTCAGAACGCAAACATAAAAAACAGAGGACCTTAATTATATCAACCAGAACTTTCAATCTAAAAATGTTTAAACTACAAGCCCTGACACGGTGTGGGAATCCCACCCACGCTTGCACAAATATAACCTATATTACGGTAAACTACTGATTAGCTTAAAGACATGTAGCAGTGTGCGTGTTTGTGTCCCTGCAGCGTCTATGTGATATTTCAACAACTTGGTGACCAGGAATAAAGCAAACTTCTGGTCATTCATGTTTTTATAAATGCACACTGGCTTCAAGTCATTAAACAAAAAGAGCAAACAAAAAGCTGCACAGTGAAGAGAACCCATCGGTGAATCAGCACCATGACTAACAAAAGGAAGCGATTACCAGAGCAAACAAGAAAATCCCCAAACTCCAAAAAAGATGGCGCAATTTCTAAACTTTCAATGAAACGCAACTGCCTCTGCATGCACCCTCCCCTCGGCTGTAACAGTCACAGCAGAGGAGGGGGTCTGGCCGTTTCCAAAGGCGTACATGGACATTCCCGCTTGCCGCTTCTGGGAAACGGTAACTCACATGGAATGTGCTTAGTCATTTAGTGTCTGCAAGTCTGAGGCTATGTTTTCTATTTTTTCTTAAACAAGAGGGCACGAGTTGGTGAGACTGCTCCCCGAAAACTTCTACAAAACAGTAGATTAACATGTCAGTGAACCCAAAAGACAACACAGAGAGTCGTGAATTGGAGGCACGACTTCCCAGCGTCCTGTCACTTGTTGTTTTTCAGTTCCTTTTAGAATTAATTGGCCTATTTTTAAAAAAAAAAACATATTATAGCAACATTACATTAAACCCTCTTTACTAGCAGGTTAACTGTGGAAAAGAAAAACTAATTTATCTGTGAAGCAATAAATTTTTAGACATTCAGGGAAATACTTTCTTTACAGTTTTACAGACAACACGATGGCATGCGTTTCCTTGTATTTACTGTGTCTTGGAAGCAGGAACACGTTTTAATTTTATTTCTTGGTTGCTCAGAAACAAACAAGTTGGCGTTTCTATAATAATTTGTGCCAAAGTAGTGCAGTTAGAGGCAGGTTTCTCTACCGTCAATAGCACTGTTTAGGTAATTACTGTCTTTATTGCTAATCGGTATAATGGTATATCAGTATGTTTGCACTCTAGCCTACTACGAACACGAAGGGACTTATAAACTGGATCAAGGTACAACAATAAATCAATAAATGATGATGCTGACATGCCTCATAGCCACACGCACAGTGGAAATGTAAACTAAACCTCATTGCTGTGACTCTTGATCATACTAGCATCATCTAAAACAGGCTCTTAGTTATCTTTAAGCAGATGAACTAATCCTGACTAACCCTGAGGTCAAACGTGGTCTATGACAAACTTGTCCTCTGTCTAAAAACTACTTAGGAACACTTTTGCTGTACGGCTAATGATTATTTTCATAACTGATTTGATTGATCGAATAGTTCGGCGCTCCATCTTGAAAAAACATCAGTTGATGTTTCCCAAAGCACGACGTGACATCTCTACATGTCTTGTTTTATCCAGCACCCACAGATATTCAGTTTACTGTTGTGGATGAGAAAAGAAAAGATATTCACATTTTAAATAAACTGTCAGCAGAGCTCTGACTTTAATCACTGACGTTTGCGACTGTAAAGAAAGGTGAAGTTCAGTCGGCACACGTTGCCATCTCCGTTCGGCAACAGCGAAGCAACGCATCTCAGTTTGCTGTCGTGAAACTTCCGTGAGGACCTTCAAGAAATGAGGAAACGATCAGAAAGAACGGGCCGAGGAATCACTAACATCAGTAAATAAAGATGTCATCTGGGTGTGATGGCACCAGGAAACCAAGATTGTGAAAATAACGAATCCGCAGCTAAGAGGAAGTTGTCTGCAAACATTACTGTCATGAAAATTCAAACCAACTTCCTGAAGCCGAACAGATTTTTTACCCGCAGAGAGTTCTGTCGCACTTCCTCTCCCTGCTTCAGCTTTGCGGCTGAAACAGTAAGCCGCAGCCTCGAGTGAAGTGAGATGAGTTAGAGGCAAAGATCTTGAACAGCCTGCTCCTTTAAATCACAATTAAAACTACTTACAATGGCATCTGTTAATTTTTTCAGAGAGGTTTTTTCTTTTTTCCCTTGACAAAGATATGACCTGACATCCCATCACACTGGAGGCTTAACATTTACAGTGTTGCTTCATTTCTTTGTTGAAGGCTTTCAATAAATGGGGAACAGATCAACATTTGTGCCGATAAGCTGTTTTTAAACTAACTTTCTTGCATTTTGATCAATGATGCATTTAAATGCGTGAACACTCAAAACATCTGCCTGTGATAATAAGTCAGTTCATCTTGGATTCTAAATCTACGACTCTGTCTCTGTGAGCCACATCTGACAATCTTAACAAGACCATTTATTCTGATGTGATACTGTCATAAACAAGAAGTTGGATTTTTTTTCCTTTTTTTGCCAGAAAGGGCCATGAACTGGAAAAGCTAATCATTAAGGAATTTGTAGTGAATAAAAGCTTTGTTTGACTGACCTGCTCAGAGAAACCACAGAACTGAGGGTTATTTATCTACTGATACGACGACGAAACAGCGGGCTGCGTAAAGAGCACAAGAGAACGCTCCAACGCAAAGGACGACACGCACTGATTACTAAAATGCCTTTTCACTACTTACATTGCAATCAATTTGCATTCTAATCCACGTGCACTTGGTAAAAGTGGGTTCAAATGCCCGTCCAGTCGCTTTTGTTTGGGGTAATGCTGCTGAACTAACGCAAAGCTCTGAAGGAGAGTTAATATTCAAAGTTCAGAAAGTGTGACACTGAGTGAGTTTGTTGCTCAAATTCAGGCCCAGAAACGGTTCCTCATTTGACATGCGAGATATATGTGACAGTTTCACAGCAAGGGCACAGGAAATTAATGTTCTTTTCCATTTTGTAAAC